CAAAACCCCAAAACCCCAAAACCCCAAAACCCCAAAACCCCAAAACCCCATAAAATGAGGATAGAGTGAATATTGAATTGTATAAAATTAAAGATTCGTATCCAATTTAGATGGAGAAGTACGTTGCGCTTTCACTTAAGGATGAAATGTATAAGTACACAGAAGATGTCTTACTTGGATAAGGTGGATTCGGTACAGTTTTAAAAGTATTAAACAAAGAGGATTCAAAGTATTATGCTATGAAAATTTAGAAATTAAAAGATCTAATGACAGCATCTGACGAAAATTACAGCACTTAAATACTTTGCATTATCAGAGAAATCAATACATTCAAACTTAATCATCCTAATATTACAAAGTTCCACGAGTCTTACTTCACCCACGATGATAAGTTTGTAATTATTACAGAGCTAGCAGAGTCAAATCTGACATAATACAAAAAAAAATTGGTCGAAAACAAGATAAAGATGACTAATGCTTAGATTACTGATATCATGATCTAAATAATGAAGGGTACAATCTATCTACACAACAGGAATATTATGCACAGAGACTTGAGTCCAGACAATATCCTTGTATTTGATGATGGCTAAAAATTCAAACTTTGCGACTTTGGCTTATCTTAGTAGACCTAATCATCAAAGTCTACTGTCGGGAAACAGAATTATAAGGCTCCAGAAATAGTTGACAACAACAAAGGCTACACTCCTAAAGTTGATGTTTGGTCTGCAGGAATAATTCTCTACTATCTGTGTACTTCCAAGGAAAAGTATAAGGGGAAGGTAATATCAACGTTAACAGATGGACCATTAGATATAAAACTTGATGATGATTAAAAGTAATTCGAACCACTTTTAAATAAAATGCTTAGATTTGATCCTAATGAAAGAATAGATTCAATCTAAGTTTTATCTGAGCTCTGTGATATTAAATAAGAATCTGTTATCTAGCATAGAGAGATAAGGGAAGCAAAGAATAATCTTGATAGAAACCATTTTGATCTGACAATTGAATCAATGAATGATTCGGTAAGAGAAATAGTTGCCAAACTTGGGGAATTTAATTATGGAGCTATTGATAATATTCACTCTAATCCAGATAGAATCTTCAATCCGTAGATTTTATCTAAAGATGATGGTGCAATATATGAAGGGGAAGTTGATAAAAAATCTAAAATTCCTGACGGAAGGGGTAGATACATATACAAAAATGGAACAGTTTGTGATGGATTATGGAAAGACAACTTAAAAAATGGCTTTGGTAGAGATGTATATGCAAATGGAGATTACTACTTGGGAGAGTATAAAGATGATAGAAGAGAAGGTTTTGGGAGATATTATTGGAATGATGGATAATTCTATGAAGGATATCACTTAAATGATAAGCAAGAGGGGTTAGGATATATTAGATATAGAAACGGTGACTAATACCTTGGCTAATGGGCAAATGATAAATTTTAAGGTGTAGGTGTACACTTATGAGAACGGAAATATTTAACTTGGCTAGTTCAAGAATAATTTACATCACGGCATGCAGATGTTTATTTCTAATGAAGGAGGTTACATAGAAATAACTAAGTGTAAGAACGGTATGATAAAAGAGACTATACTTAAATCCTATATGAATATGGTTAATAAATGCTCTATTTTTTGATTATTTCTTTAAAATTTTAATTTTTTTCAATTGAGCGAGATAGATGGGGTTTTGGGGTTTTGGGGTTTTGGGG